TATAATTGCTTGGCTATACGAGAGTAATTTGTATAATCGTTAACTACACATTGCCCATAATGAAGCGATGCCGAGCACGAACCCTCGGTGTTAGCCCATCGCGTTCACATCATTGTTCTGCAAGTTGGATCAAAGAGTAAATGTTGTCCAACCACTGAAACATCCCCAGCCACTGGCACAAGAAACAAATGAAGACAAACAACAGTAAAGTAAAAGACCACTCTTGTGAATGAACTCTCAACTGACTCTTCCCAGCAAGGTACATTAGCAACATGACAGATTACAAAAATCTCAGACCTTGCTTCCACAAAACTCAACCTATACCTAGTGGAGTTTTTCAAATTGCAGATATCATCTTTCTCTGTTTTGTCTTTGGTAACTGTTGGAGGGCAAAAACATGCATCAGCTTCTTTCTCAGAATTGTCAGCACAAGTTCCTTTTGACATTTTATATTCAATGATTAAAGTGCCATGTGACTTCCAGACTTTTCCATTTCTTGAAGAATATTCACCAAGTCATTGTGAAAACGTGATTTTGTTAATAAGCTTTCAGTCTTCTATAATCTGCTTCTTCATGTATTATTGGGATTGGTTGGTATAATTATGTGTTGCAATCTCCAATTACAATGCCATTGTGAAGGTGTAGGATTTGAGTGTCATGCAGGGAGAGGAAAACTCCGAGTGACAGCGGGGAGAGCAGGGAAAGTGGAGAAAATATTCTGAAAATCTATTAGCCGCCTGGCAAAAGCACGATATGTAAGATGTATTTTCTTTCTTAAGCATAATTTATTTAACTCCTCCAGCCAAAGCCGCTGTTCCTGAAAAAGCTTCGTTATAAGGCTATCTTCGTTAAAACGGCTTCGTAAACCCCGTTTTTGTCTTATCCGCGTTTTTTGTACCGTTTTTTTTTATGTTTTTTCCGTTGTTGGTTTCTTCCAATATCACATCATGGCCATGATGTTGATCTGAAAGTTTAGAATGTGAAGTTACAATTCTTTCCCCTCCCTGAGTTAAAATGAGCTTTAACATGTATATTAATATGTAGTTCAGTAATAAAGTTGTACTTATTGAAGTTACAATTCTTTCTTGTCAATTTCAGTAATTTTGATTAATCAGTAAATGGGATGTCACTGAGCAGACCAAATCAAGTATAAATAAGATTGTTAAAGATAAACCTGGCAAAATTTTGGGTGCTTCTTGATGATCTTGAAGGCTTGAGTTACCAGATACAATTATAAAGGATAAATTTTCCTGATCAATAATGCAAAATGTTATTGACTTGGCCTCATATTTGCCACCATAAAAGAGATGATAAAAAAGTACATCAATCAAAGAGAAATGGCCCAATAATATAGATATAAAGGGTAAACATTGGTAGCACAACATATTATACTACTGAGTTAACCTAAAGCCCCAAGGTTTTTACAAAGTGCCAAAGAACATCCACTAGCAAATACATGTGGCTCTCGATATAAGAACCTTTCGATATAAGAAATTTTCAATATAAGAAAGTATTTTTGCTGGACCTGATTTAAAATTACATAACAAATAACTCTCGTTATAAGAGATTTTCGATATAAGAAAGGAATTTGTTGAGCCCCGATCACTTTCTTATATTGAGAGCCACTTATAATATGAAGGGTAACTCGAGCCCCCATTCATGGCAAAGCAATGAGACACTGGCCCAGCATATTCATGAAAGATATAATAATAATTATGGCAATGAAAAGAATAAAGTAATGAATGAACAAGCTGTCACCATGTGGTATAGGGTCCACTTACTTGAGCATGTTCTTAGAGATGGAAAGGAAGATCTGTTTTATCGATATTATGTTGTGAGTTTTTAAGCAAAAGTGAACATATTAATATTCAGAAAATAACGTCACAGTCAAAAAGCAGCCATATGTCTTATCCATTGTGCAATCTTCAGAAAACTGGGCGCGGGCAATAGCTTTTTTATCGGGGAAATTCTACACTAAGCGCTTAAATAATAATCGCAAGTTTGACTCCGTATAGCGCTGATACAGGAAGCGTTTTACACTTTTACCAGCGATAGAAATCTACCAGGGACGAACGAAATAAATTTATATTTAAACACGAATTTTATTGGAATATAAATAATAAAGAACTATTCTAATTGCAAGGATTTACTAATTGATCGGTAAGCTGAGGCGATATTCTTTGTCGCCGAATGTACATATTGACTTTAGCGTACGTTTCTGATTTTGTTTCAATGAGATTATAATTATACATAAAGGAATCCGTATTGACAGAGCCGTCATCTCTGAATTAGAAACAGTGCTAAGTCATACCAGATGATTTTGAGCAAAAATAGAAGACTAAAAAATTTATCGTTGATTGTTCGACCACAACCAACAATATAGTCGACAAGAGCGCTTGTGTCTGTCCGAGAACACCGTTGCGATAATGTGCCATTGGCCGACATGTTTGACTTGTATATTAATATTCTCACGGCTCATAACTCAGAGTAAACGTTTGTATTGTTAACACGTCAATTCCAAACGAATTTATTGTCGCCGAAAGACTGTATTCTCTGGATCGTTTTGAAACGCTTCCAGGATCTCAACTGCGACGGTATAGTAGTCGTCTTCGTTGTCGCCTTCTTCTTCTTCTCGTCCTTCTCCTTCTCCTCCTTCTATGACCGCCGCTGTTGCTTTGACTTCGATTGTTCAATTAGCCATAATTCTCGGGAATAACTTCTTAAAGACTTGCCTTATGCTTAGGGAACCGTAGCGGGGTACATCAAAACAGGTCCCTTGCTCCAGGCTCCCCTGGAGTTAAGATTGTTACTTTCGCTCTTCACCTTTCCTTTTTGCCCAATATGAATTATTGCCGAAGACAACTTTATTCATTTAATTGGAATAAAATGTAAATAACCCGTGAATTACAAGTTTATTCAAAGAGTGTTGCGATAAAAGTCCGGAACCGTAATACTTTAGGAAGTTTGTAAGTCATATTAATATTTAAAAAGTTGATGGTAATGTGATGCAGAGGTGCCTTCAGAAGCTACCCATTAAAAAAGCTTGTTTGCAATGATGAACAAAGAAAGAGAGTCCTTGAATTGGCCTACTGATTAAATAGCCAATCTTACTTTTACTTATCCATAAAAAGAATGATCTGTATTGACAAATCGGGAATCTCTCTTACTCTGATCTGGATCTGTGGCACAGAATTCTATTTTAGCAGGGAGTGCTAACGCTCATTCTAAAACTAAATTATCGGTGGACGAGTTGTCACTTTTTTCTTAAAATCCGAAATCCTTCCCGAGAAACTAGAGAGCAAAACATAATATAAAAGACTTCATTCAACCACGATGAACAAAACACATGGATGCCGTCACATTAAGAAATATAAAGAAGACGTACGTTAATCGATTCACACACCCATTTATTCTATAGTTACAATTACAAGACATTAATACAGCATAATTATCGTTTGCTTAACTCGATAGACCCCCGGTGCCTACTTGGATCGATACAGAGTAGTCGCAAAGGCTTCTTCCCGATGGAAAAACCACATTCCGTCCTCAATAGAGCTTACTGACAGGAAAAGAGAACGGGTCCCGCCGACTCCACCACCATGTGATCTCTGTGGCGACTTCGGAAATCGTCTTCATGGGTGCTTACATTGCTCTTGGTTCGGGTGTTGGCCAAAACATATGAAGGGTCATCTTGTTGACGAGCACGTGTTTGGTATGTTACAACCTTTTTAATAAAATCACGAGGTGATGGGAGTTTGCTTAGTTGATCATATATTGCAATCGTAATGGTCGATTTGTAGCCGTTGACGTGGAGAGGCTGTTTGTATACTGCTCGCAGTGTAAAGACTACATATACGATGCCGAGTTTTTGTATATTCGCGAGTTGGAAGACACGCACGCTCAGGAAGACGAAGCTAACGCAAAAGGTACACAAGAAGCAGTTGACCTGTTTCTACATAACCAATTGGTTCTGAATTTGCTAGCTGTTTGGTAGAGCCGTGCGCAAAGAGAGCAAGATTTGAAGAGTGGCAGCCAAGCGAAAGTGAAATTGCCCAACTAAAGGCTCGGACCGAACATCATCCTTGTGCAGGTATGGTTTAGATTTTGTGATTGTCGATCTCTCGTGAATTGGTATGCAAATTTGATCATGTATCTTACATCTTTGCGGGTTGGTCATTCAGGAATTCGTGGATTGTATAACATAGGCTCTACTTGCTATATGAATGCTGTTCTGCAAGCGCTCATAAACAATCCGATAGTTCGCGCTTATTTTCTCGCTGACAAGCATAATCGACATCTATGTGAGATTGGGAACCACTGTCTCTGCTGCCAGTTGGATATCCTCTTTCAAGAGGTATGGTCTTGGTTGTTGATCTTGCGATACTATATTAGGTTAATTGATAGTTACTAATGATGTTGTCGTGGATTAAAATCTTAGATGGTCTCTGGTAGTATAGAGCCCTATGCTCCTTGTAGCTTTCTTCATGTAATGTGGCAGAACTTGCGGAATTCTGCCGGATTGGAAGTAACCGGATATTCTGAACATGACGCGCACGAATTATTTACTGCACTTATTGACGTAATACACAAGCACTCGCCAGGCATGCTATTTTTATATGTTGAATTTACTATAGCACGAAAAAGCTGTCGTTATTGACTGTATCTCTACTCTCTATAGAACGCAGCGAATACGAATGCCACTGCGTTGTTCATAAAGCTTTCGGAGGATGGTTTGAGAATATCGTTGAATGTACATGCGGAAATGCTAATCGAAAACCTGAACCCATGCAATTTGTTCAACTACACTTGCCACAAGTGCCTAAGCGAGGCAGATCGAGAAAAAAATCTGGTGAAAAAGCCGAGCCTCTGGTAGACTGCCTGAGAAAGTAGGTGAAATAAGTAAGCCAATATTCACACCAGTTACGAACCCACGTCGCTTAGCGATGAATTAACGAACCTTTGTTCTATTCGTAGATTTACAGCTGCTGAACGTATAGATGACTACAAATGTGATTTTTGCAACGCACGAGAAACTGCAACAACACAATTCACAATCCGTCAACTGCCACCAGTTTTAAGCCTTGTTCTCGAACGATTTCAAAGGTCAGCAGGTAAGACGCAGAAGAACGAGACACCAGTATCGTTCGCTGAAGAGCTTGATATGCGGGAATACACCAGTTGGGGGAAGGAAAGTTTGAAACAAGGGAAGCCACTTGACTGTTTACCGGAATTCAAATACAACTTATTCTCTGTTGTTACTCACGAGGGAACTTATCAGTCTGGACATTATAAGACATACACCAGAACTGCGAATAAGGTTTGTTTTTGTTGACTTACCAAATATTGTCTTTGAATTTTTTATAACAATGTTGTCAAATTCAGTGGTACGAATTCGACGACTCGGTTGTTACGACTTTAACTTTGGAAGATGTGTTAAATCTTACTACTGAGGCGTGAGTACTGTTGTCTCGATAAATAATTTGAGTTGCTATGCTTGACCCTGTTACTAAATGTGTTTTTTTTTGTAGATACATGCTCTTTTACGTTAAGGAGACATTAGATTACAACACTCCACGGACACTGACACGATAAGTGGATTGAAGAAGTCGTCAATTAACTTGTACTATATAATTCGAGCATATATGTTGAGGCTTTGAGTATTGAAAGGACTATCAGAGTTGATGTGCGCCATGTGTTTCTAATAATGTATAATTGGCCTTGCAATTAAATTCAAGAGAAACAAGGACTGCTAGGAGTGAAAAGACATGAGGCGGACTTCGCTGTTTATGTCGAACCAAGTACTAGTACGTATCAAGCGTACTAGAAATTGACAGATATGTTGAGAAACTGGAGAGAATTAGAGGAGAAAGTGAATACGCGGGAGGGAAGCTAGAAGACTAAAAGACTTGGTTGACTGACGTGCCAAATGGGGAAGAGTTGCACACAATATTAATGGCATTCAAATGATTAGTAACTTTGTGACTCACATCATTGAAACTTGCCCCCTCCCCCCAACAGCAAGACATCGCCGTTGCCATGCATGGAACTAGGAGACAGTGAGAAGCAATGTTTGGAATGTATTATATAATGAATTTAGGAGACCTGCGGTGATGATTATTAACATTCAAAAGGCCAAATCTCTTTCTTATCTTGTGAGAGATTCTCTTACGGCATTACTTCCCTACTACAATTCATCAAGTTTAAAACTTTAAATTAATTTTATTTTACAAACCAGTTTTATAAACGTTGTAATTATTTAGACTTTTTTTTTCTCTCTAATTTTATCTAATTGTATTTTATTTTACTGTCTTACTGATTATATTCATATATTTTCTCAATGTAAAAAATTATCGTTGATAAATGCGAACAAACTAACATATGAAGTATTCTCACCTCAATGCAATTTTTTTTTCGACCTCCCAACACACACTCCTCATATTTTGTTCAACAATGTGCAGATTTATTTAATTATCAAGTCTTTAATAAAAAAGCCGAGTTAATAAAAGCATTTACCAAGTGTTGCACAGAGCTTACTGAATTATATGGCACAAAAAAAACCGCGTCTCTTGTTATTATGTGGTATAAAAATGTGAGAGACGGTTCTCCTGTCAGTATTTTCCCCCCAATAGACATACTGTATTAATTAATTATTTATTTATAGGCCAAAACTGATATTAAAATAGACTCCCCATTATTTCTTAATGGTATTTTTTGGATAGTCCAATTCCAGTTATCATTCAAAATAGCAAGTGGTATGACACCAATCATATCCCCTTTTCATGTTTGCGAAACTTTTAACTGTGTTTACGTTCAACGGTACTTCTCTAGGGCCTTATGCTGTCGTTTTGAGTTTTCCAAGGTTAATGCTGAATAGTAAGCGGAGGGGAGACATTGTGTTTCAATGTACTATATTTCTTTTATTACATCTAGCCAATAATGTAAAAGTGTAATGGGGTTTTCGTAAAGATGATTAACAGCAAGCAAATAGACAAGCATCGATTTTCCTTACTCGGCAATTGACGTTCTGATCGGTGTAGCTAGAGTTTACAATGTGTTTAAACTCTCACAATGGTAAATTATACGTGAGATTACCAATGCGTCCACATGCATTGTTCTTAGAAAAGGGAAGTAGTGATACACACTCGCCAAATCTTGCCTAATATGAGTCTATTGGGATATCTGATTTCTTGTTATGTTCGCAAGGCATTCTAATGCGCAAATATGTTACCCATATAAACGCAGTCGTATAATATCAACGTATTATTATTTCGTTATACAACTTGGAAAAGCAGCTAATGTAATGTAAAAAACAATATAACTAGTAGTTGTACCAAAGTCGCAGTCTTTCGATTCAGATTTTTAATGAGGATCTTACCCGAATAGAATTCAGGCATCCCATTTCTCTCTCAGCTACATCGAACTATATGCAAACACGGGTGTTCTAACTATAACACGTAAGCGTTCGATAGGATATGACGTATACGAAATACGAATATGTGAAACCTGTGTTGAAGAATGGCACGGCCAATCAGTTTATTTTATTCTGTACAAGAAATAAATGCGTCGTCCGAAGTTTTAGTGCCGACAAAAAATATGCCCTTCATGTAAATTTATCTGTACAAATATCAGCACCGTTCTTTGTGAAAAAAAGAAAACATAGCATCAAATTGTTCGTTACTTTGTAATTAATAAGGGGTTACATTTGGTTTCTTATTAATCGCATAACCCCCACTCTTATTTGAAAATCCAACTTCGTTTCATCTATAAAAAACCACATGTATTCGAGCTCCTTCTACCCTTAGTCAGCATGTATTTCCCCCCACCCCCCTCTATTTGTTGAAGTTAGAAAAGCTCATTATAATCGACCACCTCGTCTTCAATATCAATCCATAGATCCATATACTCCCTTGAACCCAACACGGCCTCGATCAACTGATTGGGCATAAACTCGCTTCCATTCTCCAAGGCAGTCTTCACAGAAAACCGCTTCCTATCTGGAGGATTATGAGGAAACACATAATCTAATAAATCCTTAAATGTCATTCCATGTCCAACGACAATGTTTTCCTTGAATGGAGATCTCTTTCGAGTATGCACAGACACTCGCTGAAATAACCGCTGATTCGGCGATGCGCTTTGCGGAGACATGGATGCCGTAGGAATCGATACGGCATGGGACATGATCAAATCCTCTGAAAGCGATGACTGGTCTATATCCGGTCGTAATCTTTTTGTTGGCTTCTTGCGGGGACGTATATTATTATTAGTGTGGATTCCAGCAGCCAGAGGTGATATTTTTGGTAATGGCCCGTTCGGTGTTATTCCAGTCGTGCTTGGCTGGATTGGGGATGGGAGTCCAACAGGAGGCGATGTCTGAGGAATGAATGGAGGTGTTTGGAAATTACGAATATTGGATGGCATGGCAAGATTGTCTGTGATGGAGGGACGGCGGTTGAGCAAAGGCGGTTGTTGTCCATCGTCCGATTGTAAACTGCTAGTGTGGTCCCATGAGTTTTTTGAATCGTTTTCTTGGAAATCGCTCGAGTCGTCTTTGAGTTCTGTGTGACAATCAATGAAAAGTGTCAATATTCAATCAAACAGAGATGCATTTTATCGAATTATCCAAGACTATTACTCATAAAAGCTTCATTACGAGACAAATTCTTGAAAAATTTCGACTTGCTCAAAATTCTGTACAATCTTAATGTCATTTTATCATTTCCCGCTACCCTTTACCATCTCCCCTTCCCCTCCTCGTTACTTTCATTTTCCACACCGACAAACTCACTTCACTCTCAACCTTCCCCAACATCAATTCGCGTCCAAACCAGGCCCGCCCTACTTTATGCCCTAATCCAGATCGAACCTACCAATAAAGTTATCTATCATCTTATATAGATTAGTTCCAGATGTCATTTCTTTCTGTAGACCGTCTTGCAAAGACATGTTTTCTCGTTTCGTTTGCTGTGAAAATAAATAAAAAAAGTAAATTTGCATGGGTAAGATAAGTCTGAGAGTCAATCGCGTTTGATGATGTGAAAAAGTAAAATTGAATTGAAGTGGCCGATCCTTGCATGATCGGACGTTTACAACAAACTGTAAAGAATAGAGCAAATAATGCACCAATTCATACAATCAAACAGCACACGTCTTTTCGTTATAAAGACTTTTCTTTACTTTTTCAAACATACCCTGAAATCTCGTAATAGATTCTTCCATTTTACATGACACTGGTGGTGGTCAAACTGATGTCCATTATTCCGCAAATAGGACGAAACTTTGATCCATACTTGTTTCGTTCGCTTGTTTGCTCTAAATTCTACGTCGTGCTGTCTACGCGCTTTGATTAGACACATGGTCGCTGCAGGATCCCATAATGTTCTTTGACCCATTGTGTTGAAGATGGTGTCGGGTAGTACTGTGGTTGTTTGCTATGCTATGCTATGCTATGCTATGCTATGATATGCTCTCTCTCTTTTATCTATCTCTCTCTTTTCTTTGCTTTCTCACACGCAGTCTTTTTTTTTTTTTCCTCTTTGGTAATTGGTAAAGCCGTCAACGTTTAGTTATATTCTATCTCCTTTTTGCTTGCTGGTGATGGTTTTATGTGCCGACACTGTGTCACTAAGAAGCCGGATTCCGAATCGGCAAGTTTGAGTTTTGGATTGGATGGGGGAGAATGTTGCGATTGGGCGGTTATCCTGATGGTTTAAGCGGATCCACCATATTGGACATTGTTATATAGCAGACTATACGAAATTTGTAATATCAAAACGATTGTTATGACGAAACTGGTATACGGATAATGTGAATGATCATCATGTGGGATTATTTCTATATATGTGCCTTAATTAGATCAACAAACATTCACATGACAATCACTGCGCCAATCCCAAGTAACAAACAAATGGGAAGGACTATGTATAGTGTCATGTATTGCTTGGCTGGCGTGTGGCTGTCATAAACACTAATCAATGTAGGCGATGCGCCTTGCAATACAAAGGCGTAGTGAATAAATATCCCTTGGCTTCTTTATTGGTGATATTTGGTTGGCATGGCGCGATGTTATTTTCGTTGGATCAAGCTGCGCGCGACTAACGGGATCTTTTGCCTAGGTTCCAGCGTCTATCATACAATCAACTTCCTTATTGGTGATCCCCGAAATAAAAGGGTTTTCATAGTCCCCACTTTTGCCCAATTCCTTAAATCATAATAAAGAAATGCTTTTGCGTGATTGGTCTTTTACAGGGTCGGGTTTTCAATGGTTGTTTGTTTTCCTATAACCACTCGATTGCCGAAATGACATTTGCAAATCTTTAATATCAAAAACAGTTACAATTTAGTCGATGCCCGAGATTTGCGACTGCAAATATAAATGGATCACACAATTCATGTGAGTTCCGAACTCTGCGATGTGAATTTAGGATAAAAGCCAGAATCTCACAATCAGTGTAAATAAGCCTCGAATTCTTACGAGAACGGGGGTTTATTTTGTAATTCGGATATTACCAAATGGAGTAGCACAATCCGAAAGCAGTGGTACAAAATCACTGTTTGTGATTTCCCCCTAAATCTGAATCGCCTTTTTTGCTTTCACGCATGCTTCCGTCATATGCATGCGTCGAATGCAGGATTACACATATTTATCGGATTAAACGGGTGTCTAAATGAACATGGCGCGCCACAGAAAACGTTTTTTGGTTTCAGCCATATTTTGATTTTCAGCAGAAATTACAATTCGATCACAAATTTGCAAAATAACAATACGTTTGCCAGTTGGCAAAACAATATTAACATGTATCATTAATCTTGTCTGGTTTTTGTGTTTCTTCTTATTCTGTCATGTAACTTTTTTCAACTGCGTGCTTCGCCTACCAGTTCGAAATCTGCTTCTAAGTAATTCTTTAATATCGATCCAGCATTACATTTCGTTGAAACAGCCGTTTGAGTCTTACAGATCAGGGCTGAAATATTAAGGAAACAAGATGGTTAACACAGCGCCTTTTAATTTTTTAAACTCGTTTTTCCATTGCAGCATACTCGTTTCTGTGTTGTCATAAACTGGTGAAAACAACTCTGTTACTCTTTTGGTGATGCATAGCTATCAATAATAGAATAATTCTTAATCCACTTTCAATGGTTTAGAAATGAGATTTATATTATCGAGATACAATTTCTCTCATGCACAGCGATCTCTATTAGCTTGTGCTACCCGGTCAACTGTTTGGAAACCATGGCCCATACATCAAAGCTAACTCAACTCGACAACAAGACAGTCGATTTATCATTGATAGGATCCTTCATCGTCCATATCCCTATTGGTAACAAAGTAGACCCATATTATATAGTGAGCTTTACAAAATCCAATAGCCATAGAATTAATATAGGTCGATGATAACGGGTCTGACTTGGTCATATATAGAATGTTTACTAATGTCTTAATACTCATACAATAGATATACTCTTGTTGTTATAGTGTTTCTTGTATTGTCGGTTTGAGTCCCCTCTCAATTTAACGTGAATGGGTTTAGTCTATAAAACGAAAATAGAAAGACCTGTAATTAAAAGTTACGGTTCCTGTGGCAACCGACGCTCCCGGTTAGTATGTTCACGTAGAGAACCCGATTTATGTTAAATTCTAAACTCCATACACAGTTAGAGTTCCCGATCTGGACGGGTTCTAATATTAAGTCTAATATCGCTACATAGCGATCGGGAATCCAAAGATTGGGACTGCTAACCGAGCATATATCAATGATGTAATAATTTTTATTGTGAGAAAAATTAATAATAATTAAATTCTGATAACGGAATGAAAGTGACATGCGATCAGACGATATCAAATAAGGTATTCATAGGCAATTATTTAATATATTCCTGACGTAATAGTAACAACGAAAGCATAATTTTAATACCATGTTTTAAAGATAAAGTAATTATACAGCATAATATTTAGCTATGCAATCTTCATAATTTAAGAATGCGCTTAATTTTTATATCTCCAACATTAGGTTCATCTTGTTCAAACGTTTATACGCATATTGGACGCTTCCTAGCGTTTATACTTTATACCGTAAGCATGTTGTTAAGACTAAAAAATAACTTACTTTTTGCACTAGCCTTGAAATAGGGAATAAATTTTCCAGCACATGAGGGATAGTGTTTAAAGTTTAGATATTATATGAATGGCAGCAGGCATCATCGGTCAAAAAAAATTTTTTTAATATGGCAATAAACACGCAGAGACGTGCTGTTGGAGAGCGTTTGGTTTTGTTCTCGACGTGTATTATCTAATAAATAAAGGTTTTCGATAACTCCATACTGCCAAAATATTTCCTGCTCCCTAAACCAAAATGGTTAACCTAACTGATGGCCAATTATATTGGTGATTTCTTAATCCTCGTAAATTTAAAATAATATTTATTTACGACTTAACAACACGCAAAATTAGTATTAGGTTTGTTGCACAATTTTTCTATCACGAGGGTTCGCTATAAAGCCCTATATTTTGGCGTATATTTGTGTTGGGGAAGGAGAGATTACGGAGATTCTATTGGATGTTTCCCAAGTTGCACAATTTTCATAAGCCAGCATGTTAAACATGTTGGAGCTAGTCAGTAAACGTAGCGCAAAAGTAGCAAATTCTCTTGTCATTTGGCTCAGCTTAGCTATGTTTGACGATGATTCGCATTGTGAATGGTAAAAGGGGTGGGGTGTTTCTTAGTATTAGCCCAAGACACCTAGCCTTTATCGAGTTAGTCGCCGCCCCAATGTTTAATATTCTCGATGTTGTTTACCAGTTAATATCTGTAGTTATCCAAACCATTGATAGGGGAAATTTCTTCATTTAACATTTATGCATTCGATCGGGTGGCCAAACTCTATCCAAACAATTATCAGAAAGTAATGCACATTCTCATAATTATGGTAGTTTATTGGTGCAAAAGATTATTCTGGGTCAAATCCTATAACTAGAACGGGTCAAATCTAGAACGGGTCGTAACAATAATAAGGCTGTCACGATTCTGTACCAGCTAGGGTTACGATATCTTGTTCGGTTTGATCCGACACCTTACATGTCTGAGTTGAAGAGATGGTCGATCGAAAGGATACAATATGGCGTAGAAACTGTACGCAAATTAACCAAGTCTTTAAAAGTTAAGACGATGTTTCATTCTATAGTTTAATTTATTTTCAACAACAAACAGGTAAATTAATAGATGAATTATCCATACGAATCCGTTACAACATGCTAGTTTATCAACGCTAAGCAATGACAACGGGGGGCGGCTACTGTAAAATATTTTACAAAGTCAATCTCAAATCATGTCTGTTATTTGGATCATGGGTTCATTGTAAATGGTCATTTAAGAAAACCCGCGTCACAAACCAGGGTGGTCCTTTAGCTAGTCATTTAACTAACATGATCCATTGACGGGTACTACAAGTCGAACCTATTTGAGGTGAAGGAAATAAAAAATAAATCGAGTTCGGTTTTCATCCGTTATCGACGCACTTCCAATTTTCAAATTTGCACGCTATGTAGAATTAACCAAATTTAGAAATTTTGAAGCAATGCAGATCGTCCAAAAGTGGACAGGGGAGAGTGGATTCCTTCGTTGACTATAGTTCGCAATCAGAAGGCATATGGTAAATCAATGAGTTTATTATGTATAAATCGGCCCCCATACATCAGCCCCTTCGGATCTCTAGAAAAAAAAGACTAAAGTATAATACTGTATATTAATATTAATTTGTCGAGGCCTTCATCAACGTTGCTAATAATTAATAAATCAGATATTATTATTGTAAAGTTAATTTATAATACGCTAATAAAATATCATTATGATACAATTTGTCTCCAGATAAAATATCCAATCGTCCTCATAATATCGGCAGTAAATTGAGGTTCGTACTTGTGCGGTTCCTCTCGACAGACAGCGTTTACACGAACACCACTGCTTGGATTCAAAACAAAGTGCATCAAATGCCCACTAAGAAAAGGATTAAAAATGACTAAATGTCGGACGCCATCGTCATTCACTTCCCTCACGTTATCTGAATAATAGGTAGCCAAGAAGTCAAGAACTTTTGACCAGTCAAGGTGAAGATCTAGGAATTCATGGAATTCTGGTTGAAGAATTGACAGTAGTCGACTACACCAGCATTGGGTTAGGTTTATAAAGTCTGCAGAGTTGATGTTGGAGGGGTTCTTGGTTGATTCTAATTGCTCCCAAAGTTTATCACGAGCATAACACTCGATGGCCTTTTCAATATAACAATTTCAAAATTTTTTTAGCATTCTAACACGATTCATGCATAAGTAACAAAAAACGTTCTACTTACTCGTTCAATAGTCGCATTTATTTTTTGCTTTCCTTGATTTAGCACGTTTCTTCGTTCATGCACAGACATCCGGGGCTCGTCGTTACTCGGTGGGACTTGTTCGTGTCCTTCACAATCGTAAAACGAGATAATATCATAATCAAGCAAAAAACTTCCGTTATCTGAGGGTTGCTTGCTGGACGCCCTCAATATCAGAAGGCACTTGCACCTTTCCGGATCCTCTTGGTTTGTACAAAATGCTGTCGTGAAGCACCCAATTGTCTCTTCACCATGATAAATAGGACGGAAACCGTATCTTTGCGGATTCTTGATTACGTATGTAAATAATGAATCCTCTTCTATGTTTTCGAGTTCTCTCACGAATGTACCATGATAAATTCGATGACGAGCATATTTTCGAGGCTCAGGATGACTATTAATGAAATGTTTTAGAAGCTCTAATACGTCAATGGATGGTGCTGCTTCCGGCGTTTTAAGAATATTAGTTAAATATCGTAGGTGGAAATCATAGATAAATGACTTGAAGTGTAACAATTGTTTGATTTTATGACATTCTTCTCTTAGTTCAGTTAGACCATTCGATGTATCGCCATCATCAACAGCCGATCTCGTTAGTGAATACAAGCTCAAACTTGCTAAAGTTCCTTCCATACGTACTTCACATAAAATTATTCCAACACTACAAACTTTTGCAGTAAATACTGCAGGAGCAGTAATCGACAAATCCCCATCAATAACGATTTTGGACGTGAAAGAGGGAAGTCCATCATCTTTGTTGTGAATAAGGTTGGACTCTGCATCTCCAAATATCACCATAGTCATTCCAATACTTTCTAAATATGATGCATACTCCTTCAATAACGTCTCGATCGTCGTATTGAACTGTAGCGCCGTAGTTTCTTTACTTGATCCTTGTTGTTCGAGAAAGTGTATTGCAGAACCAATTCGTAACAGACAAGTAAATGTTGAATTGGAAAGCGCAGTCTTGGCATTCACATCATCAAGCTGTTCACGTGTTCGCGCCCAATTCTCGGATATTTTCGAGGCGATTGCATTTGTCTGAGAGATTCTAGCTTTTCGTACACAAGAATCTAAGAATGGCCGCCCGTATTTCTGTAATAAGTCTTCCTCATCTCGACTTGTTTCTGAAAGTTTTCTTTGTTTTGGATTGTTTTGGTTATGTGGACCCTTGATTCCAGTTTTTGGCGATTTCGCAGAATGTTCGGCAGGAGTTTCTGCAAATGCGTTCTTGAGCGTTTCATCGACATCAAGAACCGAGATAATAGACACGTTGGCCGCACTATCAAGGTCATTTGTGACTAGCTTAGTCAATTCAGCCCGCATATCCACTGATAATGCAAAGGATTTCCTTTCTTCATCTCGATGATCTGGCCGCATGCGAGATGGAAACTTGTCAGATATGAGCAAATTGACATTTGTTGTATCCAAAGAATTACTATAAATTGTGACGGAACGCTGAACCGATGTGTTGGGCGGCACACGTGGAGTGTTCGGAACAGTCGTTACGGATGCCCTTGATTTAACAGGTAATGTGTTCGTATGATAAAACAAACCCATCTTTTGATAGAGAATGCTGTTCAACAGTCGGGTACGCTGATTATGCCAGTCCATTAACTTATTAATTGATTTGAATATCTGGTCTTTGTACGATTCGTTTAAGTTGTAGGTATATAACGTCAGAGAGAATCCATCAACTGCCATAATGACGAAACACGATTGGTGATATTCTTGGTTCTGTTGCGACTGCCCTTCATGGGCGTTCTGACTCGGTCTATTCATCATTAGCTCTTCTGTTGCTTGACGATGCTGAAACGCTCTACGAGGCATAAATTCATCGACCGAATTTCTACGAAGTAGTGACCGTTCGTTCCCGACACTATTTCTACGAGAAGTAGGCTTATGTTGTTTAGGAGCTCCAAGTTCTTTCAAACCGCCGACTAGAATATATTTTGTGGGCTTTGTAGGCAATGTCTCCAGCTTCATATGAACTCTTCTTTTATGATCGGATTCATCTGTTTGATGATCATCTAATTGACATGTTTTGACAGAGACTTGGCTCCATATTGTTGGGTTGAGAGCTGTATGTATATCCGTCATAAATATACTAATTTCTTTTAACAACTCCTCACTAATGCATGAGGGTGTCTCAAAGGTAATATCTAACATGCTAACGACGGGATTCTGCCATTCGGCTGACTTTTTCAAGATCTCAAACACTGGCTCTACGAAAACACGTTGAAGGTGACTGTCGAGTGACGGGAAGGGCAGTCGTGAATTCGGTCTGTCATCTAGTTCATTATTTTCTGGTATCGCTAATGCCACCGTCTCTAAATTATCCGCAGCATAATAACGAAGGCTTTTCGAGACCGAAAGCTCAATACAGTAATCACACAAACTTTGTCGAAAACTCCTAATAATCCGTTCGATCAATGTGTCCGAGTTTATTGGCCCCTGGCTCCACATTTCGACAAGCATCTTGTAATTACAATTCTTAGAAGCAGTGGTTAATCGTCCACTTATATCGCGTGGCGGAAGCCGCGGTGTAATTCGTGGTGTACTTTGTGGCGTACTTTGTTGTGCTTGTAAGTATTCTATGATGGTCGACATGTCTGTATCATCGTGATCTGTCCGGTCCTGTGATGGAAGTTTAAACACTGGCAGGCCCTCTTGATTTTGTAATGTTAATATCATGCCAGAGATGCCCTGTCCAACAGAAGTCTCAAACAAAGGTGCCCGCATCGCTGGATTAGGATTATAATAAAACGCCATGTCCCCTAGATACGGATCCGTTAATTGGGGGAGTTTCCTATGATAAAAACCAATTAGTATTCAGATAGTCATTTCGATATTACTAACGTCAAAGTGTAAAACTAACTTTTCAGAATCCGCAGGTAGAGTTGCTTTAACGTATTTGCCATGATGGTAGCGTTTTACTGTAAAGGCTGCTTCCGGTCCATTCAACGTGTTTAAATATCCCAATAAGTTCTGTTTAAAGTAAAAAAGTAAGGACGCAGTATTTTTCACAAATTTTGGTATGTAAAATATAGCCGTTCTTGAAGGAGTTTTCTTGGTGGGTAAGATAAATTCAACGTCCTGGTAATAGGAACGAAAATATTATAAGTAATTGTTGGAAATTCGAACACAACATTACTATACTTGCCTCATATGACAACTTTGCGGCAACATTTCGAGCCAAGTGCGTTGAGATAACGGAAAGCGTAACACTAGTAGTCAATTTACTCTCCAAAGAGCTAACCAAGTCAACTGTTATCTTTGCTCCAGGTAAATTAAGGCCATATACTTCGACAAGTAATCCAAATTTTGGTTGGGTTCCACGCCATGGATTTGGTGAATCAAGGTTTGGTGTTTGTGGGCTTTTTGTTTCGTCTGCAGCAGGTTGCTGTGTTGGTTGTGTTGACTGTTCATTAGCACTAACCGTACCATTAATATACGGTGATGCATTTATTTGTTGGTCCGGCTCTGCAGCATTCTCGGAATCAACAACCGGAGGCGGCCTACTAATCTCGGACAATTTGATGTATACGATGTGATCTTTATCCGGAACAACGTACATGTGTTTACGGTTGGAAACTGCAAACCAGTTTAGGAGAGAGGACGTGATGCCAGCAAGTGCTTGATTCGGTCGCAAACGCCAGTGAAGAGGGAAGATGGTCTTGTATACTAGTGGACATTCGAATTGTCCATATGCAAACTTTTCGGACTCTTTTTTATCGGACTTTTCAGTTCCGTCGCCTGATGCCGACTCGGCTCCGTCTGGAGGTACCAAGTAGTTACTGTAGTAAAAATAATCAATTAGTCAGAATATTCACCATGGTAAACAAAATAACTAATTTCAACATTTCAATGAAAGTACCTGCAAAGATGCGTCTCACTCAACTCATCAAGCAGCGTCAGTTGATTTACTCTCACACAAACGTTTAATATGTATTTTTTAATCTCATCTATAATAGTTGTTCGTTCAGAGCGTGAAATGACCTTGGAATAGAAATATAAAGAAACAAATCCTATTTCTGGAGCCAAAAGAAGCCAAAAAAGTTGATTTTTTTGAAATATCGCAGTATCCATGCGGCTGGAGGGATCAGGTTCGGTCGGTGACATCAAGACGATTCCAAGACCTCGGCCACCATCGCTGTGCCCTGTGCTTTCGATGATATTCTGGTTGTTATCGGAAATATTTGGTACATTCTCAGATTCAACCAGTGTAGAACCGCTAAGATTACATTTATCACTTTCCTCCATCGGGTCACATTTGCTAATGTAGTAATACTCTTCCACTTTATTGAGTATAAAAGGTTTCATGTCAAACTTAACAAGCTCTTGCAAAAATCGCTGCTGACCTCGATCTTGGTGAATAAAGCAGAGAGGAATCTTATACGTAGTTGAAAAACTTTCATCTTGATCAATGGCCTTCTTTTGGTCGAGGCTTTTCTTTTGATCAGCCTTGATTTCATCAATAACTTCCCCTTGCTTATTTGTCTCCAATTGCTCTTGTATATATGTAAGTGTTGTGCGATCGTATGGTTGTAACTTCAATAGCTTATGCAGTATTTCGTCCCTCAACAGCCGACCGATACTGGATCGGGTCTTTCCCAAAGCTTCTTGTATTTCCTTGGTGTATGTCTCGATAGACTGTAATACATGAAGCGCACTGAATTACAGTACATTGTAAAAACGATAGTGTTTAATGTTAGTATTGCAGGTGATGTTTACATGAAAAATGTATCTCCACTTGTAACTGACCTTGGAACATCATTGAGTTCGACAAACCCCGGCGAAGGCTTCTTGTGCTCATCGATAGACGGCAACGTTAGGCATGTCATATGTAAAGTCGCACTAGTCCCATCAGCTGACTCGACAGGCGAGTTAGACGTACCAATTGCATCGGGAGAGAAATCGTAATATTTGTCGTGGATGGTACATTCATAGCTTGTTGGCAAATCTGAAACTGGGAAGCGAACATATGTTGCTTGATATTCACTGTACATTTTAGCGGTGGAAAAAGTACTATTTGTCTCGTCTGTTTGGATTTCCTGTTGTGTTTCTTCTCGTGTTATGCCAATTGTTGGTGGTGGCGGTGGCTTTTTAAATGTGCATTCGAGTTTTATAAAGAGCGGCGTTTCAGCAAATGTGAACACGTCAGCAAGATTCATGCCAGTTTCTCCTTCCTTTGAAGGGGGCCGATAATAATATATGTTTTGGAATTCATCGTCACCAGATGCAACGAGCTCAAAATATTGACCAAGAATGTCCCTAAATCTCTTACGTATGTCATACAGGTTGCTACAAGATGATTAACAGTCAGCACCTATAGTTATGCCGTGTCCATAATAAAAACATTAATCGCTTACCTGTCATTATCGCTTAAAGCTGCTCGGATGTGTACATTAACAAAAGCAGATATGTCCATATCTAAGGATGTCTCTACACATGTTTCGATGGCCTTGCGGAAATCTGCCGCTGCGACCTGATGCTTCTGTAATATACTACCATAAATCGATTTGACGAATCCATGAGCATAAAAATTTGCGATACAAGACATAATTCGCGTCTGATCAGACATACGGGCAATATTCTTATCACCAAGGAATCCTCCACTAAGTATTGTTGGGCTCAATGCCGTTCTTGCGGACCCCTGAAGAGACGTAGGTTCAAGTATTAAATCATCTAATTGACTTGGTAGATCTGAAGACATGCCTCCGTGTAATGGTGCAAGCCTTCTGCATAAGAACAACAGGATACTCAAGTGTCTTGCTTCATTTTCATTTACGGGAGGTGTTTTGCTGAGAGAGTTAAGCATGGCTTCAATGGAAGGTATAATTATAACAGCCACTGAGGTATTATTAACTCTCTTGACAAAGCATCGCGTCTCTTGTAAGTTATGAACCAACTGTATGGTTGCAGTGCCATTTAGTTGACCTCGAGCCTTTGATATGCCATCATTAAGTTCATTCAAAAGAGAATCCTGGGAACAATTTTGAGTAGTGTCAATCGCGCCATCAGTATGCTTTAATAACGTTTTCTGCACAAACCAGTGCAATAATAATAAATTAATATCTGCATCCTGGAGACTACCACTAGCAATCGCTTCTAATATCATATCAGCAATCTGTTCATTATCTGCTGACGATTTTTGCCGCCTAGTCCTGGCATTTGGCGCGTCATCTCGATTGCCTGGAAAATTAGGCGTATCTTTACCGCGAGATTTTAGATTCAATTGTGGCGTTTGTTTAAATCCAGATAGAGTTAATTTCGGTGTTGCTTCATTACTTCTTGGTAAGACTTCCATCCGAGGCGACGGACTCAGTGATGTTGATTTTGAACACGGAATGTAATAATTAGCGACTAGAATAGGACTAGAACGAAGCAATACCGAGAGATTGAATAAATTCGATAATCGAAATTGTGACTGCATACGTTGTTTGCAATGAGACGCGCCTATTTGATATATCTGATCAAATGTTACCATGTGAGACATCACTCTCCTGTCTCTTGCCTCGATTGCATCTGCTATCGGCTCATAGCGATCTTTCAGGTAATTGTCTTCTGATGGTTCCATTAATAGCTTAGTGTGTATACAGCCTTTCTGTGAATCAGTTACAACTATATATTGTACCCCACAGACAGTGGAAGTTCTTATTCCATCCTCATTCTCATCAGCGCCAAAGTCGATTTCACGGTAAAATATTTGTAAATTGCCCTGATGGTATACTAGCATATATTTCTCATCCAGACGTGCTTGAAATAAGTATTGTAACGCCAAATCCTGCAATGGGACTGTTCGTATGCTTATACGCGATACGATGTCTTCTACGTCGTCCAGCCAAGACCATTGTCTACACCGTAGGTACGATTGAACTATAGAACGATAACCAGCCGGAATTATCTCAACGGCGGAATTTTGATCAGCCTCATCCATGTCTGGGACTATTAGAGATGAAAGGGGTCTTCTACAAATGTAGTAAGTCTCATCTTCACGCCCATAACTATCTTCGTCTATTATTGTCCTGAACTTATCGGCTTCTGTTTGATGAGCATTCATATCAACATTGAAGAATGAAAACGCCTCAGCTATCTTTTTCCCGACTTTATCAGCCCACAATTCATGATCATCCTTATTGTCCGTTACAACATTAAAAAATGACAAGGCATCAGCTATCATATTTCTGACTTTATCAGCTTCTCTTTGGCGAGTATTCGGATTGACATTAAAGAATGACAAAGTAAATAGAAATAAACTTCCATACACTGGCCTCAGATTCAGTTTACAGAAACTAAAAGCGCATGCTTTGTCGCCCTCGTGCGAAGAAAACAACTTGATATATTCCTCTTTTGATATCTCAAAAGATGCCCACAAGCCTAGTAACAGCCTAAGCCTAGATAGGGCGGCGCGTTTAGGCGCAGCGATCAACGATGATTTACTGAATATCTTACGAGATACATGTATCACAGTCGTTGGAGAAGCTATTAATTGAAACGCAATCTGATCGTACCAACACTTACCGTCTAGACGAAAAGGGCTTTGGTCCAACACACACCAAAATTGTTTAATCTTTTCTACACGATCAATTGCTGCACCCAGATTACGCTGCGCAATGATGTCTTTTTGTGCTTTATAGAATAGTTGCTCGTTCAATAGTTCATCTGTTTCATATATCGAGGTGAGAAATTTATCCAGCCTAATGACTTTGGCAAACGAGGGATGCCTGGAATCATTATCTAGTCCAGTTTGTACTCTGATGAAGTACATTGAGAATCTGATATCCGCGACGACGTTAATTTCGATGCGAGGTACTCTCAGTCGTATCAATCCTCTATTCTCACCAGGCCATAACGCCTTAATCTTATATTGAATCATAATATTAGGAAGCCATGAGCGCACGAGACTAATATGGATCATCTTTCTCACTATTTCCACACTCTCCACTATAAAGCCCTGTCTGATGCGAAAAGAAATTATCTGCTGTACATTAATGTGTAACGTATATTCCTTGTATCTAGTTAGAATTGTCTCGACTGGCGGCGACAAACTACGTGTATCCCATGGGAAATTATAGAAATTAAAGTCTAAGACATTGTGACTGCCATAAACACGTCGTTCGCGTGGAACGTCTACTGGTCTATCGGGCTTGTCGGATATACTTGCGTATCGAGACTCAGTCTTCTTCTTGGAAAAACTAGCTTCTCTCAACAAAAAGAATGAATGGTAGTAATTGGACGCGATGCCATCTTTGAGTGATTCTGAAGATGTATCGTTTGGACAGTCACGTGCGTATAAAAATATACCACCAGTAGCAGCGGCTACAAAGCGTAATAATTCATTGTCAGGAACCAGTCCAAAACTGCACATAGGATTGAATCCTTGACCAGATCCTACTTGTATAATGTTACAACTAATATCCTCTCTGCAGAGTTCTTGTATTACATCATCTTCCTCTGACATCTGTACCAAAGTAGACTTGACGACACCATCCGTGATGATTACCAAAGATGCGAATCCATCATTAGGGCATAAACGGGTGGCAAACAGACCAGCATTCAGACTGTAGGCAAGATTACCACCACCGGATCCCAATCTCCAGATATTCTTCACATCAGAAAATTCAGTTTCCTCTTCGTTTTCCGTGTCCATCCTATAGGGCACACGAAATTGCTTAACACGCTTGACTTTTTCCCTTAATTCAACAACACGCCGCTGGTAGTCGCTCAATTCAGATTGGAGCTTAAAAAGTATTTTTGATACATTGGTTTTCGTGACTATTACATTTTGTAAGAGCACTTTCATGGTAGGGAATTGTTCCAGGAACTTAAACACGTTTGCATTCGATGCAAAGTGCGAGCTCTCGGCTATCACAGTGATTGAAATTTCTGGTTCAAACTGCATTGGGAGTCAAAGACACATGATACAGTAAGTTACATAGAACGTATGGGGACTGCACACGTAGCAACTATGTACGCACCTGAAGTTCTTTGTCCCTATCCAGGTCCTTTAGGATAGACTGCTGAACTAGACCGTGAATGGATTTCCTCAGACTAATCAACGATACCCACTTTATCAGATTGATTCGGTATGTGAATTTCAACTTATTATTTATGATCTCATTGTACATACCTTTCAAATACTTCCGATATAACCACATCACCAGTATAATAATCTACGGTTGCTAAAGAGCACGTAACATCGACAACAAACACAACCTTGTATTTATTGCACAATGTTATAATACGTGTATTTGGCATTAGTCTATATATTTTGTCATAAAAGTCGTCTGGATTCGGCAGATTATCAAGGGTATACGTGTGCGTTGCTCTTTGCTGTACAGTCTGCGTTTGCATTAGAGAGGATAGTCGCGTAGCTGAGACGTGGAGTATACGAACATTCTAGAACAATTCATAGGTCAGAAATAGAGAAGTAAAGGCAAAGGACTGGAAAGAATCGCACAACCCCTTTCCCCCCAAAAAAGACAGGAGCGATTCTCACATCGTGAATTAATGGTCTGAGAGGTCGATAGAGGCGCCTAAGTAACCATTTCTGTAACTCTACTCTTTTGACTTTAGTCGAATCAGTGACCAGTAATATGACTACTTTGGCCTCAACCGCTTCGTGTAGTTCATTCATGCTAGGTTATTATGATCGAAGGCTACAGACAATAAATATTATTTACAAAGAATAGCAATATCATAATGAAAACTTTGGGCACATTACGAGTTATGAACTTTTTTCCAATCCCATGACATATGATCAGCCACTCAATTCCTAAATAGGCGTTGATTTAACCATAATTGTGGTATCTATTGGTATAGGAGTAACTAAATATGGACCTACTGTAACAAACAGAGCAAAGCATTGAAAGCATAATTTCACGGAAATATTTATCATTAAACGACGATGCTTAATATTAACCCTCTAAGCTAAACGGTTTGCGAGAGATCAGTTCGAATACGCAACACATAGCCAAAGAATATTAATCGGTGCCATTTTTGGTAAATAACTCCCAAGGCATAGCGACTATTTCTTTGGTCAAATTTAATGATTTACTATTTCTGTGCCGATATCACGTTTGACACTATGAATTTCGTCGCCATCAGACTTCTGTTTGTTTTCTTTTTTGAGGTTATTATTTGGAGACATCCATAGAAACTGATTTTCGAATGCATTTGTTTAGCGGTTTCTTTTCTCCATGCGTGAAAGCGGAATCGTGTAATTACTTCATTCGTCGTTTTCTGACTACGGTAGCATTAAGGGGTCACCTGACGAGGAAATGCAATAGATAATCTTTGTAGCACAGATGTGATGACCCTGATGGGATTTAGCTCTTTCAATCGAGGCTTGGCTAACCTCTATTCCTGCTTAAATTGCTAATACAGTTAGTGACCTTTAAATTGGGGTTTATACTCACGATTCGTATGTTCGGTCTTGTCAACTAGACTGCAGTTATAACTCGGGGATGATTATACTCTAAACTAAAACGCGTTTACAGCAATCGAAATCACTAGAGAGACAAGGGTATTTTAAAGAATGCTTAGATTTAAAGAACGGAATCGTTTCTATTAAATGATCTATTTATAATATCAAAAGTACGCTGGCATTATTACATCTCTCGTCAATTAAAATCTTGTACATTCGATTTTCCCAACTGGAATCACAATAAACAGATCGTTCCCTTTGTAAATTAATATAATTTTCTTAATGAGTGGCTGTCAGCAGACATAAGAGCAGGTAAAGAGCCCTTGATCACATTATTTTTTGTCGTAATATACATTGAGCAATTAAATATTGAAAATTATTACGAAATATCATATGCATGATCTGATGTCATTGTAGTTTAAACATAGCAACATCCAATTATTAATCGTAGCTCTTTATACTCTGAAATACATTGTTAATGATTCCTTTCTGGTGGATAGTTGTGAAACCTATATCGATTAAAAATATTCACTTCTTGTCCCGTCGATATTCTCGTGGCATTACGATTGTTATTCGCTTGTGATATGTTTGAATACACCCAACCTATAGGCTTCCGAAATAGTCGAGAGTTTAGGATTAGTGTCTAATGATCGACACTAGGTCGTGAGTATTTTAAAGGTCAGTCATTAACTGTCGTTATATTAGGAGAAGCCACAACTCCATTAGAAAGTTCCAAGAGTTAACGATCGATTCTCGACAAACATTTGGTCATATCCTCATGCCTTTTGGAGAAAGGTACACTATATCTTTTATATAATCGAGCTCAAGCATTCTTGACAAGATTTTAAATATAGCCTGGCATATTTATTAATTGATGGAACGCGAATCGCTTGTTAATGAATAATAGATAACGTGATTCCACACGCATAGTTTGTGTAAAATATGCGTCAGTTGTAGCTTACTGAATTCTCGGGCCCATTAACAAAATACTCGAGAAAGTACGATTTCAAATCAAATTTCTTCAGTATTGACCTTTATATCGATCGCATACTCATACAGATCCCTAGATATCGACATTCTCTTACTCACAAGCTTTCCTTTCTTCTTGCACTGTTGAATTTGGTGAGACGTAATAGTAAGATTATCAAAGATCCTTTAGTGAAATTTATTGAAACGTTTGACTATTTCTACTTCGTACTAACCTATTAATGACAGTTAGTGACCTTACGATTGGTTTCGAAATATTCACGATAGTAGAATACGCCGTTCCTAGATTATTATTTAACTCCAAATATTAAGTCTATTTCTTTCGATGGGATTAGTGCCTATAGGTCGGGGAAGTTTTCTACGCTAAACGCGTTTATAAAGAATTAAATAATAATCCTAGCGTCAAAAATTGAAAGCGTTTTACATTTTTACCGATAATAGAGGTAAATTCACCAGGGGAATGAACGAAATAATTTAATACATATTTAAACACTGTTTTTATTAAAATATTCTAACTGCAAGGATTATAAAAACAACTACTAAAAATAAAGAATCGAATATGCTGAAGATAATATTCGCTAATGGAAATTACGACTGCTTATTGTTATATATACATATATCAATTAATAATCGGGTCATGCATTGCATTTGTATTACTTAAATCCGATGTGTCACAGCTCCGGAAAAACACGGAAGAATACGTCATCTTAATCATTAAACTGCAGTTTATAATTGTCTACTTCTATCGATGGAATTACTTTCGATAGCCTGGCAAGATTTACTATACTAAACAAACGCGTTTATAGATAGTTAGCAGCGTATTTGCCAATTCCAATACCAATATCAGTGCAATAATAACCAGAGAAAAATTGGGTTGTTAATTGTAAGCTACAATGATTGCTCTTTCGAACGGAGTTGTGGCTTCTCGTACTTTTGTTAAATACAATTCGACCATTAGTTACTTTTAAACAAGCTTTTTTACTACGCACGATCTACTCACGATCCGTCGAACTAATCCTTGATCAGTGTGTTGGTCCGAGTTATCCGTCTATTCATCTTCGATTCGAAAGTCTATAGATTGGGATCATTTTATAACTATCTAAAACGCGGTTATTACTTAGACGAACAGTAATCGCAACTGTCACCGGGATATTCGATGAACAAGTATCAAACATCCTTATTGATAGAAGAATTAGTAATCCGAAACAATAAACAGTGTACTTTTAGAGTATAAAAACTACTCGTTTAGAAGGAGGCAATGTAAATATATTCAGGTAGTTTGCTGACTGTTTCTAAAATTAGCGTGTGTAACTATTTACTATTCCGCTGCACACTGTCATAATTTTGCATAAACTATGTTTGCTGCACCTGAAGCGCATCTATTTCAGCGGTAGATTACAGGCAACGACTGCAGCATTCTATTAATACTCGAGATGAATATACGTAGAAGAGTCGATATGTGTTACTATTTTGGCAACATACATTCTCGACAGTCATCTGACCATCTTTGGTTTTGTTTATGTCGCACTAATAATAAGATAACTTGTTTAACTGTTTATAAGTTATTATTTTACATCACTGATTGACTGTCTAATTATATATCGTTTGCTGTTTAATAGATAAAAATTTCTAATTGACAATTTTAATTGTGTGACGATAATAGTTCTCTTGTTTAAGCCAGCCAACCAACGTTTGCTTGTGCAGTAAACTGCGTGTATTACAAATGGAAGTTGCAATTTACCTTCCACGTCTGGAAGGTGAATTCCAACCGCCGCGTCACAATATAGAATTTTCGCAAATTCCAATCGCACCGCATTTAGAAAGTGAATTCCAACTAATTATTACTTCGCATTTGGGAGGTGAATTCCAATTCTTGTGAACCGTTGAAACAAATATATAAGTGAGTAGTGTAGGCCATCAAAAAGACATCGCCCATCGTGTCGATATTAAATAATTCGTTTATTTAAACAATCACTCCAATACAACGTAAGAACTTTTGCTTTTGAAAACCTAATTTGTTTAATTGAGGTTTAACAATTGCCCTACTAATAAAGGAGCTCGTTTTGTCACACTTATCCCCGCACTATTTTAGATTAGACGAAGATTAGTGAGTGCGCTACTTGGAGAGAGTAACCTGATACTAACAAATTCTAGCACTAACGAGTAGGAAATTTTTGTAAGTAGTTTTAATAATAAGTCTGATTCTGATTTAGGAAGCGAGCAAGATCATCGAACGCAGCCAGTGAATGGCGAAGGCTAAATGTCAAGGCTGTTAAATAATTGCTCTCCCATAATAATAAGCGGTCAGCAGCTATAAATTTGACGATTGGTCAATGAAAGCTCATTTGAAGCTATGATATATATACTCCAATTTACCCGAATCAGGCCTCTACTCTCCATCATGGAACCGACAGAAGATCTCTTTTCTATACTTTTTTGTGCGGATCAATACCTCTACTCTCCCACCTCAACCGAAGCAAATACAGACATGGAACCGACAAAAGATCTCTTTTCTATACTTTGTGCGGATCAGACCCAATACCTCTGCTCTCCCACCTCAACCGAAGCAAATACAGACATGGAACCGACAGAAGATCTCTTTTCTATACTTTGTGCGGATCAGACCCAATACCTCTGCTCTCCCACTTTGACCGAAGCAAATATACACATGGAATCGACAGAAGAACCCATCTCTACACTTTGTGTGGATCAGACCCAATACCTCTGCTCTCCCACTTTGACCGAAGCAAATATACACATGGAATCGACAGAAGAACCCATCTCTACACTTTGTGTGGATCAGACCCAATACCTCTGCTCTCCCACTTTGACCGAAGCAAATATACACATGGAATCGACAGAAGAACCCATCTCTACACTTTGTGCGGATCAGACCCAATACCTCTGCTCTCCCACTTTGACCGAAGCAAATATACACATGGAATCGACAGAAGAACCCATCT